CTCCTTAGGTTTTAGGTCTTTTATGGTTGCAAGCTAGAGGGTTTTTTTTTTTTTTTTTTTTTTTTTATGTAGATAATTTGGTAATGAATTTGTCAACTATTCATGTATGGTAGTGATTTGTCCATAGAATACTGTTTTTGCTTATGGTTGGATGATGGTTGCTTTAGTTAGCTACTGCATTCTCTCATTTTTCAGGGACTTATAGGGGCAAAATCTGACGTGCATTGCAATGCATGCAGTTGTGGTGCATTTTCCAGCAAAAATTGGGTTAAATCAGGCGGTGAGGAGGCGCTGCATCACTACTGTTAGTATCCCCTGGATAGATATTGATATTGCAGCCGGGTTCACATGCCTTCCTCAGTCCCTTAAGTGTGGACAACCAGCTGTGACAGCTTGCTGCTTCACAACCGATGGCCCAGTGCACATGTGCGAGCAGCACTGCGCATTGTGAATGGTCCCGCAGTATTCTGGGACCTGTTGTGTCCTAGAAGACTGCAGGGAGGATAACTTCTCCTAGGCAGTCAGAGCAGAAGTGGGAGTGGGTATCTGTCAAAATTGGGTGCCTGCTCCCCAAAGGTGCCTATTCCTTACGGCAAGTGGGGAACGAGTACTTAAAGCAGAACTTCCCCTTTTGGGTGGAGCTCCACTTTAAGCAAGGAGCAATTTTTGCCCCTCAGATAAATAACCACTGAAAACAATGATTTTCTTTTTTTGCTGTCAGTAAGGGGGTTCCTGCCTACAGATGGGGGAGCATTCTTTCCATTGACCATCATGCTAATGTACTATAGGCAGTAGATATAGCAGGGGTTCTCAGAGTCCAGAAAGTTATTTCAGGGGTTCTTCCATGTTAAGGTTGAGATTCTTCTATTGAAGATCACAGCAGCTGTAAACATGAAGACAAATGCACTCAGCTAATGATTCGGTTTTCTTGCTGTACTGTAACTTCAAGGTGTCTTTGTTCATATACAAGAACAATGGTTGAAACAGACAATGACAATATGCGGCTGAATGTTTAAATAAGTTTAATTATTGCGAAATATAAGGGTAAGCATGATTCAAAGTAATGAAATTCCCTGATATAAGTTTTATAAGCCATGCATGCTATTTGCAGGTGAAAGTTACAGAAATGTTTAAAATCTGATTGTAATTTTGATCACAGATCATTTATTTTTACCCATAACCCTTGCCTGTAGCCATCAGTTTATGAGAGTGAAATCTGCTCCTAGAATGATGCCAGTTTTCCTGTCTGTCTTTCATATTTGTGGGCTTGAACGGAAGCTTTAACTCACTTGGGCACCATCTGTTTGAGAGGCTGTCACATTTAGAGGAAACAGGGACAAATCAAACAAGCTCGTCACTCGCTGCTATTCTGATGCCCTCATTAAATAACCCAGAGACAATAATCGGCTTCTTTTCAAGTTAATGGCACCTCCGAGTCCCTTTCAAGTGAGCACCACTTAATGCACATCAGACCTGGAGTGGTGCAGGTGCCATTTTAGACCTTCATTTAATTTTGTCTGCATCCGTTGGCCTGGTAACAAATGGAAGCATACAAGATACTTTATGGAGTAGATACAGATTTGGGACGCTTGTCAGTGTGGCAAAATGGAAATCTTGCCTTAATCAGATTACACAGTCTTACATCCTTTGGATTTTCAAGCCGGTGGTGTTTTGGCACATAATGGGAAGGTGAAATTAAACGACAAGGGAAGAAATAAGTTGTGAAGAGGCTTGGCTGTGTTTCTAAAGCTGTGGAATAATGTCCTTTCTTCACCGAATTGTCCCAGCTGAACACTTATTTTCTTGTGCATGACTCTCATCTGACCTACTAAACCAAAATCATTGTGTATATATATTTTCTTCTAAGAAAGAGATGTTTCAGGCTATTGGGCTCTGATAGGACCTAATTACAACTGGAATAAGGCTGAGCTGAAAAATAATGGTCTTTCAGCTTCGAAAATGTGTTCCTTCTGTTCCATTTTATTTTCTTCCCACTATTTTGTAGCTCTTATTATCTGTAATTTTTTTTTTTTTTTTTTTTTTTTTAGCAGCTCAGGAACCACAGCTGAGATGTGCTTGCTCAAGAGGTTTATTCTCTTTTTGTGTATATTTTATATATACTTTAGGACAGTGTTGCTTAACTGTTTTTTTTTTTTTTTTTCTTTTTTTTGGTCAAAGAACCCTTATTTTGTACAATCTTGAGGCACCCTTTGAAATTCTGCACAACCTTGAGGCACCCTTTAAAATATGTGCACAAATTAATAGTTAATTATAAAAGCATAAATATATGATGCAATACCAGAAACTCTAATTGTAAATTACCAATGAAGTGCAATAAATATGAAACCAAATTTGCCAAGTAAATATGAACCCATTAATCCAAAAAATTTACAAAAAAAATAGTCCAAAAAGGTAATTATATAGCAATCCAAACTCCTGTTATCTTAATTTCAGCAGTGACACCCAACACCACTGTGTAAGCAAGATGTGGGCTTGCCAGATACACTGACCCCTTATTCAGAGTGGTCAGTAAAAGCTTTGGTTGTTATGCCTGAAAAAAAAAACCCTCCACACCAATCCAGCCACTGGTGGTTCAAAACACCGCTCCTCAGATGAAAGCTGGATATAGTTGCTTGGGAACAGAAAATACACCTCTCATTGCATAGATGATTTAAAACACCATTTAATAGCTTAGAATCACACTTGCAAGCATAAATATAATAAAAACTCAGTATAGTCACCAAATGGCATACAAAATCCACACTTCTGGTAAAATTGAACGCAATGACGTCACAGGGAAGGCTCCAACTGGCACACTTCGAAATAACAGACGTCTTCTGGGGCTAGGACAACCTTATTGCAAAATGGGGAAAAAAAAAAAACTAAACTATTAGTCTTCCAGAACGCTGCAACATTTGCACATGTAGGACACCCAGTGTCAGAGGTGATTTATTCTTCCAAAGCAAATACACCTTTCCACACTGGGCCTGACTAGTTTTCCCTTGTTTCTCCTCTCCCCTCAGTTTTTCTCTCTCTCTCAGCTAATGTGACACCAGTGCTGACAGAGAGGGGCAGGGGAGGGGTAAACAAGGATGCTCTGCAGGAGCCTGAGGTCCATCATCTTTACTGATGACATCATTGGTTATGTCACCGGTGGCTAGAAAGTTGTAATAGTTCACAATGAAAACCTGTGGCTTTGTGTAACTAAAAGGCAGGCTTGATCCATCTTCTGGCTTATATACAATTTTTTTTTTTTTTTGCCATTTTGCCAATGCACCCTAGTTGAAAGTCTGCTTTAGGAACTAACCAATTTGACATAAATCATACTATTAAATTCAAAGCAGAGCTCCAGCCAAAAGTAACAAGATAAAAATTAGTTGCCTATTAAAGGATAAAATCCTGTGATTTCCCCCAACTATTTTTTTTTTTTTCTCCTTGTTATGGTCATCATTCAACCCACCTGACACCAGGTCACCCTGAACCCACTCAGCCTGTGATTGACTGGACAGTAAAATTCAATCAGCACAGTAATGAGCTCCTCTCCATTTTCCTGTTAAAATGCTTATTGTCAGGTACTTGCACTACTAGAATTTAAAACAAAAATCAATTTTAATGATGTATTAAAGATAACAGAGCTGCTCAATGTGTTAGATGTACTAACAGATTTAGATATGCTAACAAATTGAAGCCAAACTCCAGCTCACACTTTTTATAAGCAGTACAGCAAACTGTTTATTTTGTGATGACGGTTGTACATAAAAACTGATTATCGTAAACACCCCTGTCAGTGGTAAATGAGAGCTTTTTCTTTTGAAAACAGACTAATTGGCTGGATCACCAGATGAAAATAAAAGAAAGCTTAAAGAAAATGAATGCAGCAACCACATCTAAGAATAGGTAAGCCCGCAATATAATAAATGTTTACTTTGGTTTTAATACAGATTTAAATTTACGTCTTTCAGATATTCTTTAACCACTTGCCGACCAGCCACTGTAGAAATACGGCGGCAGGTCGGCACGGCTGGGCAAAAGCACGTTTTAAAACGCGCGTTTGCAAAACAGGTAGGGGCGCACCGCCGCCCTGCCTGCACCGCCGATCCCGGCCGCGGGTGTCAGTCCCCCCGGGTCCCACCAATTAGCGGCAATCACTGACCGAGAGCAGGGCTGCAGTAGCTCTGCTTTCTGTCAGTACCCTGACAGCTCCTGACACGCTGATCGGGAGAGAAGAGTTTCTCTCTCCCGATCAGCGTGTCCCCGTGCAGTACACCCCCCCGCCCCCTAGTAAAACACTCCCCTCACACAGTTAACCTTTTCAGTGAAAAAAAGTTAACCCCTTCCTCCCCAGTGCCATTAGTACAGTGTCAGTGTTTTTTTTTTTTTTTTGCACTGATCACTGTATTTGGTGTCACTGGGGATGTCCGTTCCCCCCCAGTGTCAGAATGTCAGCCGCAGTCCTGCCATAAGTCGCTGATCACCGCCAATGACCGCGCAATTGTCTGTTAAACTAGCGCAGCGCTGTATAGCAAAAAAAAAAAATGGCGTAAATTGCAGTATCTATACTATAGTTTGTAGACGCTATAACTTTCACACAAAGCAATCAATATACACTTATTGGGATTTTTTTTTTACCAAAAACATGTAGCAGATTACATTTTGGCCTAAATTTATAACTAACTTTGAGTTTACTATATTTTTTTTATAGCTGAAAGTAAAAAATATTGTTTTTCTTCAAAAAGTTTGGTCTTTTTTTGTTTATAGCGTGAAAAATAAAAAGCACACAGGTGATCAAATGCCGCCAAAAGAAAGCTCTATTTGTGTGAAAAAAAGGACGGAAATTTCGTTTGGGTGCAGCATTGCATGATCGCGCAATTATCAGTTGAATTAGTGCAGCGCAGAGTAGCAAAAAGAGGCCTGGTCAGGAAGGAGGGTAAATCCTCAGGAGGACAAGTGGTCAACCTCCTTAGCGGTATTCCCGAGTGTAGCTCGTGGTGAAATTTGAGTACCAAGAGCAGTAACCCCGAGCTACACTCGGGCTTACCATGCGGCGTTCCTCAGGGAGTCCCTGCAGCACTTACCTTGTCCTTCGCTCCCACAATGTGTCCCCTGCAGCGTCCCCGGCCATCTTCTCCGGCCGATGCCGGCTTCCGTGTTCTGGTCCCTGTGACGTCGGGACGTACGGGCGCCGGAACCGGCGGCAAATTTGAAATTTTTAAAAAATTTCATTTTTTTTTAAATGATTATTACATACTAAAACATTGCTGTTTCAATGCATTTCACATACATTTTGTCCCTACTGCTTTGTCCTGTGCCCTGCCTGCATTTTGACTGTTCTTTCTGCCTGGAAACTTAGAAAAGTCCATGGTGTCCAAAAAGCGTCCCTTTATGTCAAAAGCGGTTTTAGACCAGCTAGAGAACAGCGATAGTAAATCAGAACCACTTGCAGAATTGAGTGATAATGATTCGTGGGGAAATTCGTCATCAGACACTGAAAACGATTTTGGGACTTTGCTCAGCGATGTGCGAATTTGCCTCTGTATTTCAAATTTCACTGTTTTTTGGTTTGATTATATTATTGAATTAAATTTATTATTATTATATTTTTTATGATTATTTATTAAATTTATAATTTATGATTTCGTGTTTCAAATTTTATCATATCCGGAATGTTTACTAGACTCTTGTTCGTACAGATTTCAGTGAGTTATTCCTAAAAATTACAGCCTACAATAAAAAACTACATATTTCCATGGTACCGCTTTCAGCACAAAAAATCGGAAATAATCAGACCGCTGAAGAGGTTAAGCAGTTGCAATCCGGGAAGGCTCCATGTGTCGTCCTTCCCTGAACACGCACTGCGCATGCCCGCAGGGCCACGCTGTGGCGAGATCTGTCACCGGCCGTGTACCTCGGACATGGCCGATGACAGACCTGTGTATCGGCCCCGATGCCAGTACCATGTGACCTGCTATGACCAATCACAGCAGGTCACATGACAGTTGTATACAATTGATGGCTTTCTTTCATGCCATCCATTGTATACAACTGTGTCTTAGCTGTGAATGGTCACAGTGATTACATGCACAGGCTGGGCCAATCACAGCCCATCTGTGTCATGTGATTAGCCGTGGCCAATCACATCTAATCACAAAAAAAACCTGACTGAATCTATTTCATTCAGTTAAATGCTTGCTTATAGCAAATAAATTCTTTGCTATAATCAAATTGTGTAAAAAAAAAAATTGATCACTTCCACAAAGTAGTACAATGTTACTATGGTAACAATTATACTACTTTGGTCATAGTGCAATATAAAAAAAATCTTACAAAGAGAAAAATTTTAATAAAAATTTTTTTAAAAAAGTTTTTTTTTTTTCGTACTGTCACCAGTCAGTGTCCCTGATCACCGCCACACCAGTTATGTGCTGACGCCGTAGTGCACTGGTGACCGCATGTGAAAAAAAAAATTTTCCGAAAAATTATGACAAAAAAATTACAACTTCAAAAAACTCCCATGCCTCTTATGAAATACGTCGGACTGTCTACTTTGCAAAAAGGGATCATTTGGGAGATTTCTGTACTGTTCTGACATTTTTGGGCCTTAAGAAATTAAACTGGCTGTCGGTACTTCAGGATTGATCAATTTTCAGATATATCCCATAGTTTGTGAACTCTATAGACTAAATAATAAATACTTATTTGGGTTATTTTTACCAAAGAATTGTAGCAGAATACATCTTGGCCTAAATTTATGAAGAACAATTATTTATTTGCAAACTTTTATAACAAAGAAAAACTTTTTTTTTTTGTTTTTTTTTTTTAATTTTCGGTCTTTTATTGTTAATTTAGCAAAAATAAAAACCCCCCAGCGGTGATTAAATACCACCAAAAGAAAGCTCTAGTTGTGTGAACAAAATGATAAAATTTTAGTTTGGGTAAAGTGTTGCATGACCGCGCAATTGTCATTCAAAATGTGAGAGTGCTGAAACCTGAAAATTGGCCTGGGCAGGAAGGGGGTAAAAGTGCCCAATATTGAAGTGGTTAAAGACCTATTACAATTTAAAAATATTTCAACATGGGGTGCCCACAAATATGTAAAAAATTATGGTCTCCTTGTTTGTGCTCTGGTAATTTTGGACGCGTCCTCTACTCGTTTATCCTATATCACTTGCTAAAGCCTTACTAGGATTTATTATAGGAATTCTGAACATATACAGTACTGTGCCGAAGTCTTAGGCAAGTGTGAAGAAATGCTGTAGAGTAAGAATGCCTTCAAAAATGCAGTGGGTAAAATAAGTATTGAACGTGCCACAATTTTTCTCTGTAAATATATTTCTAAAGGTGCTATTGACATGAAATTTTTACCACATGTCAGGAACAACCCATGCAATCCATACATACAAAGAAACCAAAACAAATAAGTTCAGAAATTAAGTTATGTGTAATAAAATGGAATGACACAGGGAAAAAGTATTTAACATGCTAACTGAAATGTATTTAATACTTTGTACAAAATCCTTTGTTGGTAATGACAGCTTCAAGATGCCTTCTGTATGGAGAAACTATTTGCATGCATTGCTCAGGTGTGAATTTGGCCCATTCTTCCACAGTCTTCAAATCTTGAACGATCCATGGGCCACTTCTGTGAACTCTGATCTTTAGTTCTTTCCATAGATTTTCTATTAGATTCACATCAGTTGAATGGCTGGGTCATTCTAGCAGCTTTATTTCCTTTGAAACCAATTGAGAGTTTCCTTGGCTTTGTGTTTGGGATCATTCTGTCTTGCTGAAGTGTCCAACCTCGTTTCATCTTCATCATCCTGGTAGATGGCAGCAAATTTTTATCAAGAATGTCTTGGTACAATTTTCCATTTATCCTTTCTTCAATGACAAGAAGTTTGCCAGTATTGTATGCTGAAAAATAGCGCCACACCATGATGTTCCCACCTCCAAACCTCACTGTTGGTATGGTGTTTTTGGGGTGATGTGCGGTGCCATTTGACCGCCAAACATAGTGTGTATTATGGCATCCAAAGAGTTCAATTTCAGTATTTTTCGCTCCATAAGACGCACCTGACCATAAGACGCACCTAGGATTTAGAGGCAGAAAACAGGAAAAAAAAATTCTGAACTAATGGACTGCAGACACAGTACAGGAGATGACCAGAGACTGCGGACACGGTACAGGAGATGACCAGAGACTGCGGACACGGTACAGGAGATGACCAAAGACTGCGGACACGGTACAGGAGATGACCAGAGACTGCGGACACGGTACAGGAGATGACCAGAGACTGCGGACACGGTACAGGAGATGACCAGAGACTGCGGACACCACAGGGATGACCAGAGACTGCGGACAGTACAGATGACTGCTGACCTTTGGGGAGGGGGGGGGGAGCGGGTACCTGAATTTGACAGGTACCCGCTCCCACTTCCGCGGAGTTGTTCTTTCATCTTACCTGTTCCTCTATCCAGCCGCGCGCTGTCTTCCCGGCTTCTGTAATGGCGCTCGGCATGACAGCCGGGTGCCCAGTGCGCATGAGCGAGAAGCACTTGCGCTTTGTGATAGGTCCGGCGGCTTCTAGGATCTGTCATGTGTCCCAGGTGCCGCCTTACCATTCACAAAAAGCACCGCTTCCTGCGCATACGCACTTGGCACCCGGCTGTCATGCCCACACTACAGAAGCCGGGAAGACCGCGCCGCTGGATAGAGGAACGGGTAAGATGAAAGAACAACTCCACGGAAGTGGGAGTGGGTATCTGTCAAATTCAGGTACCCACTCCCCACCTCCCCAAAGGTCAGCAGTCATCTCTATAAGGTCCTGCTGTAGAGCTGAGCGGCCGGCCCGGTATTCTGACACGGGGCGGCAGTGGAAATACCGGACCGGCCGCTCCATATTCGCTCCATAAGACGCACTGACATTTTCCCCCCTTTTTTTGGGGGGAAAAAAGTGCGTCTTATGGTGCGAAAAATACGGTATATTCTCCCAGTATTTCACAGACTTGTCTAATTGTACAGCAAACGTTTTCTCAATGGAGTCTTGGGTGGTGAGCATGCTTACAGGCCATGACGGTTGAGTGCATTACTTCTTGTTTTTCTTTTTAATAATATGTACCTGCTAATTCCACATCTTTCTGAAGCTCTCCACAAGTGGTCCTTGGCTCTTGGACAATGCTTCTGATTATTTTCACTCCAATGTCAGGAATATTGTGAGGAGCACCTGGTTGTGGCCAGTTTATGGTGAAATTTATGTTCTTTCCACTTTTGGATTATAGCCCTAGCAGTTCTCACTGGAACATCCTGAGGTTTAGAAATCCTTCTGTATCCAATGCCATCAGTTATGTTTTGCAACAATAAGGCTGCAAAGATCTTGAGAGAGCATTTTGGTAATGGGACACCTTTTCATAGGCCATCAGTTGAGCCTGAACCAGCTGATATTAATTTGCACTGACAAGGGGCAAGATTGCTTTTTAAATACGAAGATTTCAGCTGCTGTCTTGGCTTTCCATGCCTTTTTGCACCTCCCTTTCTTCGTGTGTTCAATACCTTTTCCCTGTGTCATTCCATTTTATTACACCTAACTTAAATTTTTAACTTATTCGTTTTGGTTTCTTTGTATTTATGGATTGCATGGGTTGTTACCTACATGTGGTGAAAATTGCATGTCAATAGTACCTTTAGAAATATATTTACCTAGAAAAATGGTGATGTGTTCAATACTTATTTTACCCGCTGTATATTTTTGTTTTTTAAAACAATTTACAAAATTCAAAGTATACGAACAAAAGAAAATTCTAAATCAAATCCAATATTTGTTGTGACTACCTTTTTGGCGTCGAACCAGCATCAATTCTTCTAGGCAGACTGGGTTTTGAAGGTAGGTGGTTCCAAACATCTGCCAAACTAACCACAGATCTTCTGTGTATGAATAAAAGCTGATAATTGTAAGCACCCTTGTCCGTATTAAATGGTGTGTCTCAATCCTCTAATTACTTTGTCTGAACAGCTTGTTCTGTTGAAAAATAAGACTTACTGGTAGGATCACCAGGTGAAAAAAAATGTAGCCACCACTTATAAGAACCGCTAAGCTGCAATATAATGTTTTCTATTTAATACAGTTTTCACTGAGCATGCTTGCAAGTTGTGCCATTTTAAATGTTACCAAACCCACTCCAGGAAAATCAGTCTGTACATGCAGTGAAGAATGCTTGCTATACTCACTATGGAACCTAAGAGGTTAATCATCTGCACTGTGTAAAAATGCTGTTTGATCCTGACTTCTCTGATCTTCCTGTGTGCCCCTCTTATCTCCTGATAAGACATATCATGTGGAGACACTCTGCACATGCTCAGTTGGTGTGTATTACTAGAGAGGTTTTTGTGGGGTTTCTTTTGTCTTGGGAGAGTGCATGTGATCAGCACAAGGCCACTCAGCACTGTCCGGACAGAGGTCAGGGGTCCTGCATCCTCCTAGAGCAGAAAATAAACTCCTCCTACAAGCTTTAACCTGTGCTCGGCTGGACACCCGTAGAAGTCACAAGACTGCTCTAACTACTGATGAGAAAAGGTATTTAGCAGTTTATATTTACTAAAATAATAGCATTTCCATGGGGTGTGTACTGTAGAAGAACAGATAAGTGAATGCATGGTATTCTTAAGCTGCATCAGATGCTTAAAAGTACTTTGGTCACATTAGGAGGTCCTCAGATGATGTAACTGAACTTGGACAAATCAATTTCAGTAGATTTACACAACACAAAGCAACAATAATCCAGGCCTGCCCTATTACTATTAGGATTGAAATGTATAAACCGTTTCCTGACTCTTATTCTGCATATCTGTTAATAAACTTTTGGTTTCAGTAAATTCCTCTTGTAATGCTGTAAGCTGGTTTGATAATGTTTTCTATCTGTCTTCATTGTCAGAGTAAGTCTGTTTACGTCATTGTCCTGGTTTGACCTTAACTGAACCCTCAGATATGTTGTCACAGAGTTAATGCAGAGTGACCTCCATAAGATCATAGTCTCTCCTCAGCCTCTCAGTTCAGATCATGTCAAAGTTTTTTTGTATCAGATTTTAAGAGGTAAGTTTTTATATGTATTTTGGGTTTATTTCATATGGTATGCTACTGTTTTGAAACAAATCTCAACGGGCACTTTTAATACAGACGATATGTTGTAATGTAGGCACTGTGTTTTTGTTTTTTTCATTAACAAAGTGGTAAAGACATAGAAGCTGGGTCATGTTTTTATTGTAGTCTGTGTACCCATTAGGGAGGTTTCCTCTCACTTGTTGACAGAATGTGATAACAAATCTCTCCAGGGGGAACAAAGACTGCAGCATTACTTTGTTTTCAGTAAAATAGGGATAAAAATGCGGAGTCTGTCAGGTTGGTATTACTGCCTCCTATCCCCATTATCTGGTGGTTTGTAGCTTTCCTGATTTCTTGTCCTGTTGTCAGAGGGACAGGAGTAAGGTGAAGTTTCTCCATTTGGGAGTAAACGAATGTCCTTTTTCTAAGTTTATCCCAAACTAAGAAATTATTCTCCATTGTAGGACACATGAGTTTTAAGACTCAGGCTCTAATGCCACCTACTGGAGAAATACACTGGCAACAAGAAAAGTTAAATATATAGAAAGTGCAGCACTAAAATAAGTGAATTATATTATAGTGAAAATAAAGTGCAAAGTCAATCTGACATACAGCAACGAAAAAAACAAAACTGATCAGCGGAACAGTCAAGTGTAGCATATAAAAATCAAATATAAAAAATATTCAATAAATCCTTCAATAAATGTGAAACCGTAAAGTGCAGCATAAAAGTGAGAATATATAAAGTCCATAAAATATCAGTGGAGTAAGAGCTATAAATTGTCCATAAGGGTATAAGTACTGCAGTCATGGTGAAATACTGTGAAGTGATCCAATAGGGAATCCAGCATCTCTGTCAGATGTTCACTCACCAGACATCTACTGGTAAACAGCATGTAAGCACATCTCATCTGGGTACAGGTAACAGCAATGAAGCCTCTGCAAGGGATGCTCAGCCAAGGGCAAAAAAAAAGCAGGTGGACCCTCTCCTATGAAGAATAGCTCACCACAGGAGCCAAAAGTCGTATATAGTGTAGTATTTTATTAAATAATGAATCCACGTGGAAACAAGTAAGAATGAAGGTAAAATGGAGTACCAAGATGGCCACCGTTCGACCTTGGTCTCCAGCCGTACTTGCTGACGTCACACTGCCGTTGCCGAAGGTCGGAACCATGGCCACTCAACACTATTTTCTCCCATTTTATACTGGTGTCCTCTCTGTGACAGCCTTGAATTTTATGGAGGATTCTCCAGTCGCTTAGAGTAACTGATAAATTCATTTTCTGATTAAGAAATTCATTTTCCTGTTAGGAAATATTCCTTTTGTTCAGTTCCACAACATTCTCATACTTTGGTTCCCTATCCATCTGCATCTCCATGAAATCCATGAAAGGGTTCAGGAAATGGTTTCTCAAGGCTTAAAACTGGAATTTCACACATTTTAGCATGTCTCAGTTCAGCCCTCTCGAGCCTTGTGTTCCTAGGTGTAATTTTCCCATTGTTTGTGGCAGCAGAGAGAATCCACTAGGGATACCTTCTGGCTTCTGTGGACATAAAAAAAGCATACCTACTTTTTCCTAACTCCCAAGGTTTTTGCCCTTCCTATTCTGTTTTGTGTACAATGGCCTTTTACGCCCCATTCACACCTGAGTAGTGTTTTTGTACATTTATTTGGCCTGTTTTTATGCACCTTTTGAAAACGTTTGTGCTTGATTTGTTCAGGCGTTTTACGGGCTTTTTTAGTTCTGGTCTTTTTGTATTGGCCAATTTGAGAAATTTAATCTGCGACATCAATTGTTGCCATGCCAGAAAAACGTTCTTGATTGTGAGTCGGAACGCACCAATGTGCATGAAGAATGAAAACTTGCCAAAAGTGCATCAGTCTGCCTGAATGGAGCTCCAAACCTTTTTTTTTTTTTTTTTCTGCTTCAGGCAACTTGGAGTGGAAATGTGAACCATTTCTAAAGAGTAATATTGATTTTTGTTTTTTGTTTTGTTTTCAGATTTTTTTTTTCCCCTCCCTGAGCTTTTTGGAGCTTCATGCTACAAAATGCTCAGGTGTGAATGGGGCCTTAAGACCTATGTGAAGGGTGTCCTATGTGTAGCTTCCCTGGGTTCTCTCCGCTTCAGAAGCTGCCATTTGAAAGCCACTAGAGATTTCTTTCTACTCTCAACCACTAATGTTTCTTGTAAACATCACTTCTGCCACGTTAGGCCTTTTACGGCAAAGTACACTTACTGTTTCGCGTAGGGACAAGGCGCTGTTCAATTTTCTCTGTTTGACTCCAGTTCACAAAAAGGAAATTTCCCTCCACTGTCTGCAGGTGGTCTAGGCTGTGGTAGTTGATCTCTGAGCCACTTAACAATCTGCAGAATAATACTGCTCCCAAAAATAACCTATAAACAAATCAGGTTGCCACCCTTCATATAAATAAAACACGTATAATATAAAAAAAAA